ATGAATCTGGAAGTACACCCCTAAAACTCAGGGCAGTCCTGAGTTATATAGGGAAGGAGAAAGGGGGAGGATCTGGGGAGGATTGGGGGAGCATCTGGGGAGGCATGCTTAATTTGCTCTGCTCTCTGGCCTTCATTAGTATGTAAATCCCTAGGGTCTGAGGCCTATAGTCACACCCTCTACTTGTGCACTTTGTCAGGGGCTGTAAGGACCAGCCTACATGACTGAGTTTTATGGAGACTGGATTTTTTTTCAGGACCCTGGATTCTGGGGGAGCGCTGAACTCCTGCCAGTTCTCACGCAGAGTCTCGGGGTTCTAGGCACCTGCTCAGCCATGAACAAGAATACCCTTTCACAGTCCGACAATAAAGTATGAATTTAAGAGCATAATTTATTATGGATTTTACATAAAACCTATAAAATATATACTGTTGATATAGTCACAATAATCTTGAAGTTATAGAAATATTTTTCAAAATATTATTTTACTTTTCCCATAGAACTATTGTAAACATTGAATTCAATACTTATGCATGTGTTATCAGAGATAATCATTTTGTTTTCCATTTTATTTTACTCTCCATGAATTTCTTGATCATAAAATCATATATTACAAATAACAACAAAGTAAAACTTCATTAAGACAAAAATATTTTTTATCCCAATTTTATCTAACCTATACTATTTGATTATATAATTTTGCTAACTAATTTGTTGAAGCTGTCACATAGGTCTTATATAATTATCAGTTGATAAATTTAGTTTGAAAGTAACTGAGATATATTATGGAAGGAATCATTTGTTAAACCCTCTTTATAAGGCTGGGATTTAAAGAAAGGGTGTTAATTCTAATAGATTTTTACACTAAATAATATTATCACCTCTGCCCTGCTCAAATCAATACCAAGTGATATACAATATTTTAGTTTAAAGAAAAGAGGATCAATTGACATCAATAAGTAGAAAAGAAAATCTCAATTGGATTTTTTTAAAAAAATGTTTTTTAAAATTTCATATCAAGACAATTTTCTTAATCTGAAGACATAAAAGTAGTCTAGATGGTGTGAATTTACCTATTTATATTATTTAATTTGGTAAGAAAGTTTGAGGGATTTGGAAAAATCTAAAACTGTTTGGCATTGAGAAGTACTGTCTTTAGCATATGAACCAATATGAAAGACTTGAGAAAGGATATTCTGATAGCCTACCTAGTGTCAGTATGCCTATATGTCTCACCATAGCATTTTCAGGGCACTGCATATGTAAGTTGTGATCATTGACACAATGTGCATTCTCCATGTCAGATTGTTGGTAGTCAATACAAGAGATGTGTCAGTCATATCATCCCAAATATTCAGCATCTTATAGATACTGTTTAAATGAGACAAAAAAAGGAAAATAGAAAATAAAATACTAAACTCTCATTTTTATATCTTCATATTTCCTGAGATGTTTTAGAACATTTTAGCATGGGTATATTTATATGTAAATAATAGTAATAAAATTATTCCTCTGTTTTTAGACAGAATAGTATAGCTGATGTTATTTTGAGGTCTTGTACCAAAATAGGATGTTATTAAGAAAAGATAGTTAAGACCTACATATCATACATATGAATATACTTCTATTTCCAATGTACAATGTATTTATCTATGAGTCTTTATGAGTAATTTTCAGTTAATATTTCAGAAAGGAGCTTTTAGACAGATAAAGTTATATGTGCAGTACTGTTCTTGACCTAGTACTCCAGCTAGTCAGTGCTCATTACTGCATGGTACATAGGTACTCCATTACTGACTACAACTTGCACACTTAGCTATGCATGTCTTACTCTCTGATACAATATTTAAAAATTATTATGCTCAAAACAACAGAAAGAATTAATTTTAAAAGTGATGCAAGTAATTATTGAAGATGCTTTTTCCCCCATTGTATATTTTTGGCTTCTTTGTTAAAGATCAAGTGTCTGTAAGTGTATGATTTTATTGATGAGTCTTTAGTTCCATTCCATTAATCAACCTGTCTGTCTCTGTACCAGTATCATGCAGCTTTTATCATCATTGCTCTGTCATATAGCTTGAGGACAGGGATGGTGTTTCCCACAGAAGTTCTTTTATTGTTGAAAACTGTTTTGCAGTTCTGGGTTTTTTGTTTTTCTAGCTAAATTTGAGAATTGACCTTTTCATGTCTTTGAAGAATTGTATTGTCATTTTGATGGATATTGTGTAAAATTAATCCTAAAAATCCGAGAGCATGAGAGATCTCTCCATATTTTTAGGACTTCTTTGGTTTCTTTCTTGAGAGACTTGACGTTCTTGTCTTAGAGATCTTTCATTTGTTTGATTAGAGTTACCCCAAAGTATTTTACATTATTTTTCACTAGTGAAAAAGGATAGTGTTCCCTTAATTTCATTCTCAGCCTGTTTATTATTTGTGTAAAGGAAGGATACTGATTTATTTGAGTTAATTTTATATACAGCCACTTTGCTGAATTGTTTATTAGCTGTAGAAGTTCACTGGTAGAATTTTTGGGATTGCTTGTTTATACTCTCATATCATCTCCAAATAGTGAAACTCTGAACCAGAAATGTTCCTGTCTCAAATAACTACAGGAACAAAAATGGAGAAGAGACTGAGGAAAAGAGGGTTCAGTGATCAGCTCAAATTGGGATCCAGTTCACGGAGAGGCCCCCAAGACCTGACACTATTACTTATGCTATAGTGTTCTTACAGACAGAAGCCTAGCATGGCTGCTTTCTGAGAGGCCCAACAATAGCTGAAAGAGTCAGATCCAGATACTTACACCAGACCGATGAACAGAAGCTGGAGACCTTGGAGGCTGAATTTAGGAAAAGCTGGAAGAAGCTGAGGAGGAGGGTGACCCCATAGAAGACCAGCAGTCTCAACTAATCTGGACCCCCGAAATCTCTCAGACACTGAGCCTCCAACCAGGCAGCATATACTAGCTAGTCTGAGGCTCCCAACACATATTCAGTAGAGGATTGCCTGGTCTGGACTCAGTGATAGCAAAAGTACCTAAACCTCAAGAGAATTGAGGCCCCAGGGAATAAGGAGGTTTGGTGTGGTGGAGGTTGGGGGCATGGGGACATCCATTTAGAGATGGGGAAAGTGGTAGAGGATGAGGAATAGTCAGAGGGCAGACTGGAAGGGGATTATTTTGACTTTAACTTGGCTGTTAAAAAAGATTAAAGAATAATAAGTAAAAAAAAATAGTGCTGCAAATTTGAAATAATGAGTCCAATGATTGCTTTTCTTCATAGATTGAAAAGTTTCTAGGCTCATAGGCACATTCTTCTACTTGCCTATTGTTAATATTCAGGAAAAGATTAAATGTTGCTGAATGAGAAAAACCAATCCTGTTTATGGCTATTATTTCTTTAATTAAAATAGAAAAATTTCCAATACACTTACTATACATATCTGTAAGCTCAGCCTAGGGAGGCTGAGGCAAGACTCATGAGTTTGAAGTCAGTCTGGGTTACATGGTGAATTACAGGCCAGCCTAGACAACAAAATAACACTCTTTCTCAAAAACCAGCACCCTTCTATGCATACACAAAATGTAAAATGTAAAATCTATAATATCAAACAAATCAAAGAAATAAAAATGCCATTAGGTCTAAACATTTATATGTAATTTATAATCAAAGCTGTTTATCAGAAAACATTGAATAAACCTAGATTAAATAAAACTGTAATTATCAGTATATATAAGAGATCATTATTTCATTTTGTATGAAAATAAACTAATCATTTAAGTGTGTATGAGTATTGTATTCAATTGTGCATGTGGGTGGAAACAGCTCTCAGAGGTTTCAACTATGATCCAGTGCACATCGCAGAAACTCACAATCCTTGGGGAGCTTAATCAGATCTATAGAGCTGTCTTTTTGATTGTGTAAAAGAACTGGCATAATTGGTAAGTAGTACATCCCACAGTGGTCCTCTATCTCATGAAATAAGAAGGACACAGTGAGAAGGACTACAGTGCAGGGTTTTTAAAATATCTATGAACTTCTCATTGTTCATTATGTGTTCTTTCTCTTGTTCTGCACAATCTTATTTTGTGGTCTTATTTCCAGTAGTGGATATCATTATCACAACACAGTGTTGATCAACTGATCCTGCCTTGCAACATGTTCATTTCATTTTCCTTTTTGGTCAATTAGAAATGGCTATAATTAGCATGAGGTTTATGAAGCCTGTAGCTTCAACACTAGTTGTTATTTAAATGAACTTGTTATTTACGCTCATGTTCATGGCATAACCTCTGACATTTGACATGAAACTATCTACTTTTACATTTTTTCTTCACAAATGTTCACAAGCAGCTCATACTTGAATGTGAGAGTAATATATCATTGTATTTTAAGTTGCATTTATTCCAACTGTGTGTTTTCTCATAATACAGCCAGTAGGTATCTCAAGCTTCTTAGTATCTTAATTGGACTTGAGAAATAAGAAATTATAAATTCATAAATATCTCAAGAAAAAAATGACGGAGGCTGAGATGGTCAGTTGGAAGAAATAACAATGCCTTGTCACATCAGTAAAGTGACGTTTAGTTTTTCTATGGATTTCTGAATTTGATTATTGAAGGGTGAGTCTTGGTACCTTGTTCTGCCCTTATCAAAGAAAGAGTGACAACACTTGTTGGCCTTCTAGGTCTATAGGCAACATATACTACATTTATATATGGTTGAGCCTTGTGGTGCGCTGCTGCGTATGCATAGTCTCCCTCCTGAAATCGCCATTAAACACCAGTAAGGCGAATGCCTGAGCAGCCGGTAACTGTCAAAAGCTGACGCAGCCCGACGCGTCATATCTGCCGAGACGCATCAGCCAGTAGAGTAGGGACACGCCAACCCGATGGGTATATAAGGAGAGCTCCTCTTCCCCTCGGGGTCTTTCCTCTCTTCGGCTTCAATAAAGCTTGCTGCAGAAGGATCCTGACGTCTGAGTCCATTCTTGCTGGCAAGAAAGTGACACGGGTCACAGCTGGTGCCGAAACCCGGGATCAGGCCAAACCATCGCTAGACACCGAGGGAGATCCCCGTTCGCGGTAGTATCCAGAACTGCAGCCTACGGTAAGGATCAGAAAGGTATGCTCTCTCTTCTTGCCTCACAGGTGACCCAGGCGGCTGCTGCTTTCGTTTTAGTGGTATTCGCCCTCTTTCTCTTTCTGTTCGTTTCGTTTTGCATAGATCGAGCTTTGGAGGAGGGCGACCTTAAGGACGAGCAGTGCCGTGCAGCGGTAAAGGCAGGGCAGGAGGTGTTGCAGGAAGTACAATCTAGCATGTCAGAATCTGATCAAGAAAAGAGAAGTGGTGCGCGCAAAAGGAAATCAAAGAATGCTAAGAATTTATGCCCCTCGAAAGGTGAGGAACCTGCTGAGAAGTTAGGAAAGAGCAAGTACGCTCTGGGAGAGAAGTGCAAGGCGATAAAAAAAGAAGCCAAATCTAGACCATTGTACCCATTAAAAGACTTAGAGGCCCTTGAAATAGACTCCTCTGAGACTGAGGGCCTTAGTCCTTTGGAGGAAGAGGATTTGGAAGAAGAGGCTGCTCGATATGAGGAGGACAGATATCATCCAGGTGAGTGGCCGCGGGCAGAGGATGGAAAGGGAAAACATACAGACCCAGTGGTGGCAGGCCCTAAAACTATAAAATTGCCAGCCACTCTTCCAAGTGCGACCCCGCCTTATGTGGGACAGCGTGCAGACTCCTTCTTTTCACCCGAGGTTAGTCAGAAAATTCGAATGGCTTTCCTGGTATATGAAGGGGCTGAAGGCGGACGAATTCACGCCCCTGTTGAATTTAATGTTCTAGAGAAACTTGCAGAATCTGTTCGCAAATATGGGGTAGATGCCAGTTTTACATTCATGCAGGTTGAGCGACTCGCCAACATGGCCTTAACGCCAAGTGACTGGCAAACCACCGCAAGGGCAACGCTTAATAGCTCAGGACAATTTATGGAATGGAAGGCCCTGTGGCAGGATGCTCTCCAAGCACAAGCCAAATCTAATGTTCTTTTAATTGGAGATCCAGCCCTTTGGACATATGACCTTTTGACTGGCCAAGGGCAATATGCTAATAATCAGACTGAGTATGACTGGGGGGCGTATGCTCAGATTGCCACTGCCGCGGTTCAAGCCTGGAAAGGACTCTCTAGAAAAGGCGAGTCTGAGGGCCAATTAACCAGGGTAGTCCAGGAGCCCCAAGAGTCCTTCTCAGATTTTGTTTCACGAATGACACATACTGCCACAAAGATTTTTGGAGACACGGAGAGAATAAAAATCCTTATAGAGCAACTAGTGTTTGAGAATGCCACCCCAGAATGCAAGGCCATTATAGGGCCTCGTAAGAGCAAAGGGCTGGCCGATTGGATAAAATCATGTAGAGGCATCGGAGGTCCCTTGAGTAATGCGGGACTGGCTGCTGCCATCCTACAAACAAAGGGTGACAACTCTCTGCAAAAGGTTTGCTATGGGTGCGGAAAGCCAGGCCATCTAAAGAAAGACTGCCGCCACCCACAAAATAAGCCAAAAAGACCGCTCGGCCTCTGCCCAAGATGTAAGAAGGGATACCACTGGGTGGGCGAGTGTAGATCCACCAGAGACCTGCAGGGTCACTTACTCCCCGCTGACGTTACTACCAGAACAGAAAATGAGCCGCCAAAAAACGGGCATTCGGGCCCAGGGCGCCAGGGCCCCAAAATATATGGAGCCCAAAGCCCCCATCAGAGAGGTTGGATTGCTGCTGAGCCTACACAGGTTCCGTAGGACTGGACCTCTGTGCCACCACGGAGTCTTATTGATGCCGCAAATGGTGGCCCAACCTGTTCCAGTTAGTTTTCAAGGACCCCTGCCGAATGGTAGTGTGGGACTCATTATAGGTCACCCCTCCTTAACACTGAAAGGTCTTATCGTCCACCCAGGGATTTTAGATGCTGGTTATACACATAAGCTTAAAGTTCTTTGCTCTAGTCCTAAAGGAGTCTTCTCCATATCATCAGGAGATCGTATCGCACAGTTGGTCTTGCTCCCCAGCCTTCAAGATAAATTTCCTTCGACTGACAAAGACTGAGAGGGGGGTCTGGGGTCATCGGGGACAGATCAGGCCCATTTAATAATGGATTTACAGACCAGGCCCACTTTAACATTAAAAGTGGAAGGTAAACAGTTTTCTGGCATCCTAGATACTGGAGCTGATAAGAGTATCATCTCTGCTAATTGGTGGCCTAAGGCTTGGCCTGTCACTCAATCATCCTGCTCCTTACAAGGGCTGGGATATGAAGCTAACCCCTCAGTCAGTTCACAGACCCTCTATTGGGAAGCCAGCGAGAGCCAGATTGGAACTTTTACCCCATATGTTCTTCCACTGCCAGTCAACCTATGGGGTCGAGATGTGTTACAACAACTAAATTTATGGCTGACTGACACCTATTCTCCACAGGCCGTTAACATGATGTCTCATATGGGCTATCAAGAGGGTAGAGGACTAGGGGTGAGGGAACAAGGCAGACTTGATCCCATCTCAGTCAGTCAAGACAAGAAGGGCCTGGGTTTTTCCTAGGGGCCGCTGGAGAGTCTAAGCCCATAACTTGGCTCTCAGAGGAAGCCATGTGGGTTCCCCAGTGGCCTTTGTCCTCTGAAAATTGGGTGCAGCTATGCAACTAGTGGAAGAACAGATAAAATTGGGACATTTAGAGCCATCCACCTCTCCCTGGAATACTCCAATCTTTGTGATTAGAAAGAAATCGGGAAAATGGAGATTGCTTCCTGACCTTAGAGCCATCAATGCACAAATGCAGTTGTTTGGTGCTGTACAGAGAGGTCTGCCTTTGTTGTTGGCCCTACCTAAGGGCTGGAAGACCTTTATTATAGATGTTAAAGATTGCTTTTTCTCCATCCCATTAGCCCCCCAAGATAGACCTCATTTCGCCTTTTCGCTACCAGCTATTAATCATCGGCAACCTGATAAGAGATATCAGTGGAAGTTTTTACCACAAGGCATGGCAAATAGCCTCACCATGTGTCAGCTTTATGTCCAGAGGGCCCTTGAACCTGTCAGGAAACAGTTTCCAACCCTGTTGTTGGTCCATTATATGGACGACATCCTTCTATGCCACCAAGAAATGAGGGTATTACAAAAGGTGTATCCTATGCTATTGGCTCAATTACAGCAATGGGGCTTGCATATAGCCACCAATAAGGTGCAAGTGGCTGATGTTGGATCCTTTTTACGAGCAATGGTTTATCCAGAAATGATTGTTCCACACAAACTTGAAATCTGTAAGGATCAATTACAGACTTTAAATGATTTTCAGAAACTTTTAGGAGACATAAATTGGCTTTGGCCATATTTGAGGATTCCATCGGCTGATTTGAAGCCGCTGTTTGATATCCTAGAAGGAGACCCTCATATTAGCTCCCCTAGGACATTGACCCCTGCCGCATGGCAGGTCTTACAGTGGCTGGAGCAGGCTATTCAAGAAGCTCATTTACAGAGAATTGATGAGGATGGGCCATTTCAGTTATGTGTGTTGAAAACTAAGCTTTTACCCACCGCTGTCTTGTGGCAAGGTGGACCACTATTGTGGGTACATCCACATGCCTCCCCAGCAAAAAATATTGAATGGTATCCTGATGCAGTAGCACATCTAGCAATACGGGGCTTAAAAGCTGCAATTACTCATTTTGGCCGCAAACCAGATACCTTGGTCGTGCCTTATACCGCACATCAGGTACAGATCCTGAGCGCTACCTCTGACAATTGGGCAATCTTAGTAACTTCACTTCAGGGTGTCATTGATAATCATTTTCCTAAGGATCCTATTCTACAGTTTGCCGAAGCCCAGGCTGTGGTATTTCCACGAAACATGGCTGATAGGCCAATTCCACAGGCAAAGGTTGTTTATACTGATGGCTCTAAAATGGGAATAGGAGCCTATGTTATAGAAGGACAAACAGTTACCAAACATTTTGAAGAGACCTCACCCCAGGTTGTAGAGTGCCTAATAGTTCTAGAGGTTTTAAATACCTTTCAAGAACCATTAAACATAGTTTCTGACTCGAGCTACGTGGTTAATGCAGTAAAAATTCTGGAGACAGCCGGCCTCATAAAACATAATAGTAAAGTTGCAAAAATTTTTAGTCAGATACAGGCCGTACTCCTTAGGCGCCATGCCCCAATATTTATTACTCACATTCGGTCTCATTCTGGACTCCCAGGACCCATGGCACGAGGTAATGCACAAGCTGATCAGGCTACACGCTTGATTGCTGCAGTAATCCAAGACTCTGAGTTCGCTCGGGCACAAAAATTTCATGAATCATTTCATGTCACTTTGGAGACGCTAAGACGTCGCTTCACAATCTCTAGACAACAGGCCAGAGACATAGTTACACAATGTAAAAATTGTTGCCAGTTTTTGCCTGTGCCCCATGTGGGTGTGAACCCTCGAGGAATTCGCCCCTTGCAGGTTTGGCAGATGGACATTACTCATGTTCCATTACTTGGTAAATCCCAGTATTTACATGTCTCTATTGATACTTGCTCTGGTGTACTCTGCGCTACTCCCTTGTCAGAAGAAAAGGCCTCTTATGTCATTCAACATTGTCTGGAGGCTTGGAGTGCCTGGGGCAAGCCCAATGTCCTAAAAACAGATAATGGCCCGGCATATACCTCTCAAAAGTTCAAACAATTTTGCTGTCGGATGCAAGTGACGCATGTGACAGGGCTTCCTTATAATCCCCAGGGTCAAGGCATTGTTGAGCGCGCACATCGTACCTTAAAATCTTATTTTGTTAAACAAAAAGGGGGCATAAAGGAAACACTGCCCCCTGGGCCTAGAATAATAGTCTCCCTGGCCCTTTTCACTCTTAATTTTTTTAATTTGGATGATCATGGCAAGTCAGCAGCTGACCGCCACTGTGCCCCATCAAGCCAACAACAAGAATTAATAAAATGGAAGGATGTCCTGACCGGACAATGGAAAGGCCCGGATCCTATGTTAATGAGATCCAGGGGAGCTGTTTGTGTTTTCCCACAGGACGAAAATAACCCGTTCTGGCTGCCTGAGAGATTGACACGCCGGCTTACAGCGAATACATCTGCCTCACCTCTCCAAGATGATGCCACTGATACCACATTGGCAGAAGCTACTACTGGTCTTGATGCTCGCGAGTCTACCACCTGAAAGAAATTGGTCTGAATGTTTTGAAGATACCCTCCTACAACTGTGATGGTCCATTACAGAGATCAACTCTACCCGTGTGGATGTGTCCCTGATCGAGGGACTTTCGTCCTGGGTGTCTTCTCTCTTCTCCTATTTTAAAGAGTGGGTGGGAGTGGGACTTTTTGGAGCTATTTTGTGCCTGGGTCTGGCGGGTACCCTTTTTCTGCTGTGTAGGATGCGAGCTCAACTACAGAGAGATAGGGTGGTGGTGGCTCAGGCCTTTGCAGCCTTAGAAAATGGTGACTCTATCGGCATCTGGATGTCCATGCTCAGGGACTAACATCGATAGCCCCTATACTATTCTTGCCCATGAGGTCTCTGTTCCATGATAAGGGCTGGTATATCAATGACGGAGTGTCAAGTAAGACTCGGTCCACCTAAGACAGGGAGATCTCAGGTGGGGAGATCGACCCAGTGACGGGTAAGCATTTGAGCATTGCTCTCCTTTGCAGGCTCAGTACCATCATGAGGCCTCAAATGAAAGGGGCTACAGAACCTCCCCAAGAATCACCTACACAAGATCTCAGCTTCTGCACCTGGAGGGCCTTTGCCCATTGCACCCAGTGAAGTGAGATCTGGTGCTCCAATTAATATTTAAAACAGGGAGAGATGTGGTGCGCTGTGTGCATGCGTAGTCTCCCTCCTGAAATCGCCATTAAACACCAGTAAGGCGAATGCCTGAGCAGCCGGTAACTGTCAAAAGCTGACGCAGCCCCACGCGTCATATCTGCCGAGACGCATCAGCCAGTAGAGTAGGGACACGCCAACCCGATGGGTATATAAGGAGAGCTCCTCTTCCCCTCGGGGTCTTTCCTCTCTTCAACTTCAATAAAGCTTGCTGCAGAAGGATCCTGACGTCCGAGTCCATTCTTGCTGGTGAGAAAGTGACGCGGGTCACAGAGCCTGTCCTTTAGATTTCTTCTTGTGAAATATATAAATGGTCTAAATTTGGAATTTAAGATATTATCAGGGCTGTCTCAGCTTAGGAACATACTGCCCATGATACTTAACATGGCTTTGGAGTTTGGGGATGAATCAGGGAGCATGTAGTGAGCTCTTTTCAGAGAAACAAAGGAAAGGTTCACAATCTCTGGCAAGGTTTTGATATCCTCAGTTGACAATTCTCTATTTGGGAAATAGCACCTGTATTATGAGGCTAGTGATGGACTGGAATGATCTGAGGACTCAGAATATAAAATTGACTCTATCACTGGAATGATGTTTTATATCCCCAGCAATTATGATGTTGTGCCTGGAATGACCACTAAATTTGAATGTTGTATGAAAGACAGTGTTATATTAGATCCACAGTAAATAAGTAAATTGCACCAACACTTGATTTCCCCATCCACAGCACCTTACTTCATTACTTCTTTGCTTCTTTCTCTGACCTCTTTGAGCATCTGAATAACTTTATCAATGAATAGTAAAGTTTGAAATTTGAAGGCCTGATTTGTAGATTGGTCCACATACCATGTTTATTCTACCTAGAACTGGATGTCCTCTATTTATTATGTTCAATAGATCTATCCTTGGTGATTT